CATTGTTATAACCTGGACACCACAGCATGACATTGTTATAACCTGGACACCACAGCATGACATTGTTATAACCTGGACACCACAGCATGGCATTGTTATAACCTGGACACCACAGCATGGCATTGTTATAACCTGGACACCATAGCATGACATTGTTATAACATGGACACCATAGCATGACATTCCACCCTGTCAATGAAATGTCATAACCTGGACACCCTAAGATAGCATTCCACTAAGTCACTGTAATGTCATAACCTGGACACCACGGCATGACGTTGATATAACCTGGACACCATAGCATGACATTCCACCCTGTCACTGTAATGTCATAACCTTTACACCATAGCATGACATTCCACCCTGTCAATGTAATGTCATAACCTGGACACCCTAACATAGCATTCCACCAAGTCACTGTAATGTCATAACATGGACACCATAGTATGACATTCCACCCTGTTACTATAATGTCATAACCTTTACACCATAGCATGACATTCCACCCTGTCACTTTTCTGTCATAACCTGGACACCATAGCATGACATTCCTACCAGTCACTGTAATGTCATAACCCCAGACACCATAGTGTGACATTCCACCCAGTCACTGTTATGTCATAACCCTGGACACCATAGCATGACATTCTACCCTGTCACTGTAATGTTATAACCCTGGACACCATAGCATGATATTCTGGCCAGTCACTGAAATGTCATAACCAGGACACTGTAGCGAGACATTCCACCCTGTCACTGTAATATCATAACCCTGGACACCATAACATGATATTCCACCCAGTCACTGTAATGTCATAACCTGTACACTGTAGCGAGACATTCCACCCTGTCACTGTAATGTCATAACCTGTACACTGTAGCGAGACATTCCACCCAGTCACTGTAATGTCATAACCTGTACACTGTAGCGAGACATTCCACCCTGTCACTGTAATGTCATAACCTGTACACTGTAGCGAGACATTCCACCCAGTCACTGTAATGTCATAACCTGTACACTGTAGCGAGACATTCCACCCTGTCACTGTAATGTCATAACCTGTACACTGTAGCGAGACATTCCACCCAGTCACTGTAATGTCATAACCTGTACACTGTAGCGAGACATTCCACCCTGTCACTGTAATGTCATAACCTGTACACTGTAGCGAGACATTCCACCCAGTCACTGTAATGTCATAACCTGTACACTGTAG